AAATTTTGATCATATTGTATCATATAATAACCTGTTCCGCATTGTTTCTCCAACAGTCGGCGCTGAGCCCCAACCAGGCATTCAAACGCCCATTGCCGCCCTCCGAAGCGTCTCCTTTCGTGGAGACCAAGCGTCCCAAAACGTACGTCGGAACTCCACGCCTGGCAGAGACTTTTACTCTGCCGTGCCTGAAGCCTCTACCCATGTCCGCCTTTAATGCCTCCCCCTCACAAGAGACCGCAACTCGCACTGATGGCTCCTCGTCGCCACCGTCCCTTGAGTGCCAGCAGTCGGACGCGTCTCCGGAGCTGCCCGTTAGCAGGACAGCCGCCCCGGAGAAAAGCCGCCTCATCCCGCGCTCTGAGTCGTCCTATAGTTTGGTGACTCGTCAGTCTTCTGTTCCTGTTACCTCATCCGACAGCATCGATGCAAGTATTGTTCGCGAGACTCCACTCTGCAAGACGCTCAGCGAGAGCCATTTATCTATTATGAAAGCCCTCAACAAGTGCCATAATCGCGAAGAAGAACTCACCGGAGATTTTTGTCGCAGCCTGTCATTACCCGTCATTTCTTGTGGTCGGAATCCCGATATAAAGTCAATTACCCCCGAAACTGTCGCTCAACTCATTCATGGTGAATACAGTCACTTGATTGAATCGTATCAAATTTTAGACTGTCGTTACCCATACGAGTTTGAAGGCGGCCATATTAAAGGTGCTGAAAGTTGGCACAACCCGCAGTTTGTGGTGGACTACATTGACAAGGCAGAACGAGTCATGCCGCCCACCCCCACAGATCCTAACAAGCGCCACATCCTTATCTTCCACTGCGAGTTCAGTGCAGAGCGCGGACCTAAGGCCCAGCGATTGCTACGTGAGCGCGACCGCACTGTTAATAAAGACCGCTACCCAGCTCTGCATTTTCCCGAAACGTATCTCTTGGAAGGCGGCTACAAGGCCTTCTTCGAGCTTTACCCCAGCCTTTGCGTGCCGCAAAAATATACAAAGATGCTCGATACCAACCATGCCGAGGACCTCAAGCTTTGCAGAGCTCGAAGCAAGAGCTGGGCTGTGGAAAATAAACACGGCAAGGGCAGATCCGGTCTTTGGTCCAAGCGCTTCAACCGAGATACATAATTTTCTGATGGAATCAGTGATCCTGTGATGAATTTTGTGCTCAATTTTATACTATGCTACCGAGTGAAAAATGAAAGAATTTCCCGCATTGTATGCCAATTTTTCCCCACGATAAGTGAGAAAGAAGTGCTATTTTACTGGATATATTTTATATGAGGAATTATGTGACGTGTAGATGCATCTAGTTTTTAACTTGCAAAAGAAATTTCGGAGCGCTTTAAGGCTATTGAGGTAAATTCACGCCAAAATTCATGGAATTGGTTTGCATGTTGTCGGAGTGACTGACTGTAATCTACTATAGTCATGTGTCAAGAATTTAAATAAAATTCAAAAGTGTTGGTTAGGTTCAGCTCTCTCAGATGCACACTTCTTACTTGTGTCTTACGTATCACTTTAATCTAAATTATTTGTAAATAATTGCTGATTATTGAATTGCTGAATGCGATTCGGGCATGCATCTTCAGCGACATTATTTGAGCAGTATACTAGGTATAAATATTCTTCCTTTCCCTTTATCTCGAATTTACGTCGCATTGTATCTTCATAGTTTAGTTAACTTCACACATGTCCTGTCAATTCAATTCCACTTGATTATACGCTAAGCGATGTGATGAAAATAACCCACATAAGGTTCATATTCTGCTATTGAATTACATTGACAAAAAAAAGTTCGTTGAGAAAATCTGGTCACAACAATTTTCGCTGAGTTGAACAACGTAACAAAACTTATATCGTCGACTTACTTACTCTCTTCGTTTCCCTTTCTTTTCTTTCGTCGTTATTGATTTGTTCGTCTTGTAGTTCTACGAAGGTTTCATTGTACATATAAGCTTATGAAAACGCTTCTCTCGCTTAGTTATTATTATTCTGTTCTCATTTGTTTAATTTTATCTTGTTTTACTTGATGTTTTGTTCATAGTCAGTGCAATAGTTGACATCTGTTAGGGTATAGGGCATTCGTACCTCCTTGCTCTGCGTGCATCCATACCAAACCTTCAATGTGTTCATTTGCCTTTCTTTCCTCTTTCTCCTTTTTTTGGATCTGGACCTAGCCATGGCTGGACTCTTCCCCTAATTCCATTAAATATCTGTACCTTTTCTTTACCTTGCAAGCGAGGTACTAGTTCAAATCAATGCATTTGTGCTTTTGCCTGCTTAGATTCTGCTGATATGTTCTCACTCACTGTTAAAAATTCATTTTCTTCATCTGCGAGCTGTACTAACTTCATAAACAAACAATATATGCATTTTGGCCCTCCGCTTTGACTTGCTTAATTTTTTTCGTCGTCCTGTCCTTTTTTATTACATTAGTTTTGAGATCTACGATTTAGTGTTTTAGTTTAGACTAACCGTATTTTTAGCCAACACTAAGTGCTTGGTGATTCATCATGTCGTTCAAGGCAATTTAGTTGCCCGTCGAAACTTGTTTTTCTTATTGAATTAATTTTCTTGTTACTCTTGCTAGCGTTGGACTGCGCTCACAACGGTACATGTGCACTGGTACCTACTCATGTCGTCCAAGTATATACGAACAACTTCTGAACAAATTCTGTTACGAGTTCGACTCCAGTGACCCTATTGTAAACAATTGCTACGACAAGAATTGAATTCCTTACAACCTCGTTCAATATTCAATTTAATATTAGCTTTGACCCTATTGGCAATTGTAACGGAACTTAAAGAAATGCCGTTGCAAGTTCAAGTTCAGCGAAAACAATTTGTTAACAAGTGCTTTGACAAAAAATTCAGTTGCTAACAACCTTGTTAACGAATAAATTTTATATCAGGTTTTATATCAATTGTTAATCATAAGGAAGTGGATGTTGTGCGTATTAATGCTAAGGTTGTTGGAGCGCTTGCAAGCTGTTCTCTACTGAGCATGCAAATACGATTCTCTCACGCCATATCCATGTCGACTAATGTCATTTCCTCTGCTTCTGTAGCTTCTCGTGTCTATATTTTTATTAGTGACTGACATCTTCTAATTCTATCTCATTGACCTGAAATGTTTCGAGTATGAATAGCCTTAAATATCGAGTATATCAGTAAACTCTAATCACAGCTTTGCTCTCATGAGACGCGAATGTAAGGTTTAAAATTTTGAATGTCTCATATTCTGAATTGTCCACGAAATGCTTCAGAAACAAACGTAGTATAATCGTATATTTAAGATTTGATTGATGAGTGTGTTTTTCTCTTAAGCTTCAGGTACTGAGTATTATGATTAATCTATTATCTATCTATGGCTTCTCTATCGGAACTTTTCGCAAGAAATTTAGTGAATTAAATGGACTTCTGTATTGGATAACTGCCCCAAATTGCGGAGACCTTAATTGCTAATTTCGTTCTAAAAAACCGCGTACAGTAATCGGAAACTCGATCTCCTTTGTTGGCTTTCATTGTATGTTGTACTTAGGTAAACGTCTGCTAACCGTGTGCGCTTTTTCCATGCGTTCTAAAATTCATCAGATGTGTAGATCGCACCTAAGAATCAAGGCATAAATGCTGAATTGCTCGTTTGAGTTTGCTAAGCTGTTACAAGTTACCGATGACTTTCGTTGACATGTTTTCCCGCTCTAAAATACTATCGTAGACCTCCTGTTCAATTAACATCTAGAAGAAATTGCAAACGACTCGGGTGCGATCTTTAAGAGACTTCGTGATAAAGTAACCTTGATTCTGTCCTAATGCCAGGCCATCACACATGCCAGGCCTGTTTGTTGTAGTTGAAGTCGTTATGGTTTGCTTCGCGTAGACTTTAAATCCTAATTTTTTTTGTTGCGATTGACTGGACTACGTAAACTAGCACAGGCTTATTTCAGGCAAGCTCGTTACCACGACCGCAGCTTGAGGATATCGAGGATAGCTACCATAGGAGCGCTGGTGCATACCTTCCATATGCTTAACGACTACAATTCTATTTATCAATGTGTCAATTTAATTACTTGCCTTTATATTCTCATTGGGCGTGTTTCTATTAATCTTGTGTCATTAATATCGAATATTACTTGCTTGACGTAAATAATGAGCGTTTAAATGAACTGGGTTGGTTTATCATAGACGAGACCTGCGTAATTACTCACTTGACTCGCCTTCTTGTGTCTGAGTATAATTGTCAGCGTTAATTTGTCCAGCATGTGTTTTATTATTTGTTTTGCGGTGCTTTGTGATCACTTGGTGTTATTTATGTTCAAATATATGCTGAGTTCAAAGAATGAGAAGCCTTGCAACAACTGTGATCTACTTTAAGTTTAAGCACTTATTTATGGAAAAAATGCACTAATGTGCTCGCCATGTCTGTCTGTCTGTCTGTCTGTCTGTCTGTCCGTCCGTGACCTCAAGTTTTCGTCGACGAGAAAATGCGCTCGCTGTCACTCACTGCAGTGAGTACTGAGTTATATTTTTTGAGTACGTAATACTATCACGAATGCAGGTCAATATGTCTTCATGAGTCAAACCTGTCTCCCGCAATTACAAGTGCGGTAGTGATGCATACTTACTTTTCTTGTGGGCTTCGTAGTAAAAATGCATCAGCTACATTATTATTCATCAACAAATAACTTTTTATTCTGATTCAGTTATTACATGATACAGTACGACCAGCAAAGTTTCGATGATCGTACACTGAGTTACCTCAATGTTGATCAATTCTTCTAAGTCGATGAATCACGCGTTCGCTAGACTCATTTTGGTGTGAATGGTTTTCTTTGTTTTTCGATGTTCCATAACCTTTTCCGTATACACAGACGAAGCTCATATACGCATATTCTTTGTTACGGTTCAACATTGCTTCTCGTCCTACTTTTCGTGGAACGTTTAAAAAAATGGATTTGTAACCGAACGCTCGAAACTTATGAATTGTGACAGTTATATGTTCTTGCCGCCACCTACGATATTTATTATGCGTGTAAATGGATTAGCTAGGATGGCTAGTTGACGTTTTACTGATAAACTATCACTATCTCTAATTTGATTCAAATATATTTCCTGCTTATAAAACAGAGTCGGAGAAAGAAATTTGCTCTTAGCGAATTTCCACAGAAAATATCGACTTTGTTTTTCCCAGAAAGTGTGGATAATGGGTTCCAAAGTGTGGGTTTACGAGACACTTGCTACTGCGGCAACAGGTGCCTGAAGTGAAGAAGTCCGTGGCCGTTGAGACTGGCAGGCTTCAGGGGAAAAATAAAACCTCAAGGTCGCGCTTAGCCTTTCTCTGCCAGCCGAACAACACGCCTGCCTTCACGCTCAGCCCAGCACCTGCCTTCACGCTCAGCCCAGCACCTGCCTTCACGCTCAGCCCAGCGCCTGCCTTCACGCTCAGCCCAGCGCCTGCCTTCACGCTCAGCCCAGCGCCTGCCTTCACGCTCAGCTCAGCGCCTGCCTTCGCGATCAGGTTGTATTGGATACAACGATTCACTGACATAAAATCAACTACAAACGTTCTTTAGAATATGTAATAACTGCAGTGTTCTTAACTAGTATTTTTCTTACTCGTTTGCCTCCCACTTTCATTGAAAGGAATAAAATTTCACGGTTACATGATAACCGCAGCTCAAAAAGTATGTGTAAATTATCGTTTTGCAAACTATTTTGCGTAAAATTAATTGCACGTTTGAACGACGGATGAATATACTGACATTATTTATATTTTAATGATCATAATCGACGGTGATCTTAACCACTCACGGTCACTGCAAGCGAAGAAAATCTTCAGTTGTTGTTGTAATTGCCCATCCTGGTAGTGGCGACTAGGTAAGGGAGGGGGTGATAGGTCAGTTTTTCCGGGCACTTGGTGCCACTGGTAGTTCTACGACCAGCACTGGCTCGCTGACCCGCTAGAACCATTTTATCGCATTACACAACACCCCGGACAAGCCAGGTACTCATTTATCAACCAAACTTGAATGAATGGCTGAGTTAGTTTAGTCCAACATTTTGTTTGAAAGAATTCATAACTCCTTCAGAGTTATTAGACATAAATGGTGCTAAATTAAGGCATTTTTAATATCACAATTTTTGGCTGAGCAAAAACGAAACTAGTAACAGTATAAAAATTGTACACACTTAAAAAAGTAAACCACACTCTACCTTTCTAACATGAAGGAACCCAAACTCCACCCTCCCAAACACGAAGAACTCACTCTTCACCCACTTTATTTGAAAGAACCCAACCAACTCAACACCCCCTGCAAGCCACCCCCCCCCACCTCCCTTCCCCCGGCTAGTTCATGCCTGACGCAACACGTTCCATGTTGCGTTTACATTACAAATTCCCTTATTGCTTTTCATTAAAAAATATCTGTGTAGACAAACCAGAGCGCAATATCAACCATGAGTAAACANCCCCTGCAAGCCACCCCCCCCCACCTCCCTTCCCCCGGCTAGTTCATGCCTGACGCAACACGTTCCATGTTGCGTTTACATTACAAATTCCCTTATTGCTTTTCATTAAAAAATATCTGTGTAGACAAACCAGAGCGCAATATCAACCATGAGTAAACAACGTTTGACTGGCAAGGCTTACTTAATAAGCGGGAGGTGGTTTTCAAAAAAATTAGGTTCATCTAAGATTGACAAGGCGATTAAAATTTCTTTGGCGTGTGTACTTAATAGTTTGCTTTAAATTCCAAACAGAATTTTAATGAGACGATACCCACAGAAAATGAGATATATGGAATCAACTACGTGCAATGAATAAATAAATATAAATGCTGCTAGAACTTTTAAAGTCACTGTAAGCAAAAAGAATTTGCTACCATGAGCGAGTGGATTAAATGCGTGTGGTTTTTACGTGAGTTATTGCTAGACAGGCTTGCTATAGAAACATGATATAATATGACACAATCTATCTGATTTTCTAAAGTTATACTTACTTCATTAAATAGCACTATTGGTGTTCTAATGCTTATTTTGAAATTTAAAAGCTTTTATTTTCTTCGCCTGAGCGGAAGAAACAAAGAGTGAGATATCGATGGCTAAAAAAGGTAACTTGAGCTGATGGAAGCGAAGACGCGGCTGAGAGAGAAAGAGAGAGGAGAGGGGGTGGGGTGGGGGTGATAAGACGGGTAGGGTGGGAGGGGTGTGGGTTTAAATGCCCGCGTCTCGCTCATGCGTCGAAGGCGGGCAGAAATTAAAGGTACAGCGTCTCGAGAAGTTTCCTGCCTGCCCTACTGGGCTTCTTTGTTTGCTTGTTGTTGCTGCGCTGCCAAGGATTGTGTCGTCCAAAGGCGCCGTCCTGAAATGGAAGAAAGGAGAGGACGCTTGCTCAATGAAATGATGGCTCGTCGATAAATTGCTTTTATTTCCTTTTCTCGTGTGTTTATGAGCTGTATGAATCATTTGGAGGGGTGATGGAGGGCTGAAACAAATTGTTGACGAGCTAACTGAGCTAACTGATTTTATCATAAGGGAAATAATGACAAATGTAACGGCTACTGACTATGTTTCGGTGTTTCATACTGTTACAGATTTTATCTAAATTACCAAAATTTAACTCGAAATCTATTGCTTAAATTCTAATAATTTCGAATATTTGAAGCTTACCTGTGATGTTATCGATAGTAAAAAATATGATTACTTTGTCACTTTCCCAAGAAATTATATAATGCATGCTACGAAATAAATAAAATTTAATGTACTTGTGAATGCACTCTTCGACTGCAACAAAAATATCAAGTTACCATAATTACTAACCATGAATNAGGAGTGAGGGGATGAGATGGTGGTCGGGGTGGTGAAGTGAGGGGATGAGATGGTGGTCGGGGTGGTGAAGTGAGGGGATGAGATGGTGGTCAAGTTGGTGAAATGAAGGGTTGTTGAGGTGATGATGAAGGAGACGGTGGTTATGGTGAATTGGGGAGCGTCGGTGGTGGTGAAGTGAGAAGACAGGGCGGTGGTGAAGTGAATTGTCTTTGGTGGTGGTTGAAAAGGGGGACTGTGTTGGTGAAATGGAAAGCTACGGTAGCGATGGTGAAGGGGAGTGATTGGTGGAGCAAATGCAACCTGAGTCGTTGTGGAAATTTTGACGAATAAATTTGGTGATCATGGATAAATTTATTCGAATAAGGTTGACTTGTACATATGTAGTTGGTTGAAAGTTGTCTTGGGTAATTTAACTAAGGTATGTATAGTCTTGAACTAATGAATAATCTGTGCAGAATATTGCCAGGTTTTATGACTGATAATAATACATAATAAAAGTGGGTTGATTCGGCTTTTGATGGGGTAATTTCCATAAAGTGCATTGCTTTGACTGAGGATATGTTAATGAAGAGTTTAAATTTGCTTAAAATGTCTTAATGCGTTTTCGGTTTCGAATATGGTTTAGGATAAAGTATAATTGAGGCTGGGGTTAATGCAAATTAGAACACAATTTGGAACGACTAGTGCAAATTCGGGACTCTTCTTCTAACCTGTTAATGAAGACTAAACATATCGGCACAAATAGAGCTTAATTGATCAATTAATGTTGTGTAGGTTTGGCGCTGCTAAGGCAGATCAGTCGCTTTTCATTGTTTTCTTGTACTCGGCTATAAAAAAATTCATAACTATTTTAGCGCATGAAATAGGTTCTATAGAGAATAGTTTATTCGATTTATCTTTTTTTACATTGATGCATTTACATGGGTTACTCGGGTATCGAATGCGGTTAGCCGTAGTGCAGGATGACGAAATAAAATTTTTTATTCTATGCTTACTTGAGAATTAAAAAATTTAAGTTTAATTAAGAGTCAAGTTTGAATAAATGTCGCTCTGCATGAAAAATTTATTAAGATACGAAAAAACGTGTAAACAGGATTTGCATGAGAAACAATTGAAAGATTCCAACAACGACGTGATTTTAGAAGCGTTATCGAACAGTTAAAAATGTAAAATGCATTATGGTAAACTAAATAAAAATACCTAATTCATTTTGACTAACAAACACAAGCAAATATTTGACTATACCATTGCCCAACTATCAAATTGTTTACAGAATGAAGTTAGTTGACAATGTACCTTCTCACTGCATAGTTGACAACTATGCTTCGCACCGCTGCATTGGTGCAGCAGTTTCCTGTGGTGCATCCTGAAGGATCCGGGCGCAGCTGCCGCGCAGGAAGACAAAGTCTTGAAGACGCCTCAGAAGCGCCACCGACACAGACCATCTGGACGCGACTT